GCCAGGGTGCCTGGGTGGTTTAGTTGGTTAAATGTGACTCGATGTCGGCTCAGGTCATGATCTCATAGTTTGTGGGATCGAGCCTCATATCGGGCTCTGCACTGACAGCTCAGAGCCTGCTTAGGATTGATATTCTCTCTCTTTCTCTCTCTCTCTCTCTCTCTCTCTCTCTCAAAATAAGTAAATAAACTTTTAAAAATATAAATAAAATTAAAAAAAGATGGTGCCTAACAAATTTCAGTGACTTGCCCAGAGTCCTACCAACTATGTAGCCCAGAATTCACTCCACTCTACCTTTTGAAACTCAGCCCTCACCAAGCAGAGAAAGCTGGTAATTCAGGCTCATAAAGATATTTGTCAGGATAGAAGGAAACCAGCAACCACCCTTTTCCTCTGTCTTCCCACCATGGAGGGCACCTCCATCTCTGGCACTACCTCAGCTCTCAAACCATAAGCTGACACAGCAGCAAAGAGAAGAGGAAGAGGTCAGTGTTAGAAATGTCTCTGGAAGATGGAATGGACTTCTCAGTCTCTTGAAAAGAATGACTGCAGATTCCTTCTAGCTCTGGACAGCCCTCCAGGCGCCCAGTTGCTCCTACGGCCCAGGAAGAGCTTAATATACATGACCCACAATGAGAAAATGAAAGAGCAATATGGGAACTTGCCAGAGAAGGGCTTCTCCCCGCCGTGAAGTCTGGTGGAACACCCATGTGGCAGGCGACCTTTCAGATTGGTGGCGGGCCAGGGCAAATGTGGGAACCAGAACCATTAGTCACAGACAGCCAGTGCCTGGAAGCCTGGGACTGAGATTGTTGAAGAGTGTGAGTGATTCTCCGTGCTTGCTCAGCCTGGCTGAAAACTCATTTTCTCCCCTATTCTACTGCAAAGGGCTCCCTCACAGAAGCCAATTCATTGCGAAAGATCTCTATGGCCCTTGGCAACCTTGGAATCACTCTGTATGGACTTTTCCTCACTGCTCTTGGTGTCATTATGCCCAGGGAGAAACCAAATCAGAAGATGGTAAATTACTTCTGAGAGTCGGGGTTGAGCAGGAAGAGAGGGTGCTCCCAACTACTGAGTCTGGCCTTTAATGTACAGGCCCACTTTACTGTGTGAGAGCCAAAGGCTTCTAGAGTCAGGCAGGGCACACGTGTCCAGCCCTAGCCATGTTGATCCCAGACAGGCTGGTCCCAGGATCCCAAAGCTGGCCATCGGCCCCTCCTTTTCAACTGGTAACTGAAGTCAATTATGCAGATAATAGGATGGATGCGGCAGGGCTTTTTCATCACATACATTATTCTAATAGAAATGCATACCGCGACCCAAGCTTTGTGACAGTCCATTTTAGAAGACTTTTGCCGAGCAAATCAAGTGCGCAGTGAGAAATCGGAGAAAGCATTTTTACTCAGCAGTATCTGCCCTCTCTCTCCTAAGCAGCCAGAGCCCAGACAAGTCCCAGCTGCAAAAGGGGATGCAGAACGCTCCCCCTCTTCTGAGCCCACTAAATGGTCCAGAGGAATCTGAGATGCGGTGCCCATCCGTTAAATAAATGCTTTTTACCCAAGCCAGCCATTCTTTCTTGCTCTCTCTCTAACGCATTGCTATTCCCTCAGTCCACATTCAGACACACACCTTTTTGTCAGCTACTTAAAATCATTAAGTGAACTTAATTAGGTTTGTCAATCCCTAAGGCTGGCAGAGTGGCAAATAAGGCACTATATTCACTGTCCATTAGCAGTCTGTTGTCTGAACGAGACTGCGTGTTTTCTGAGCTGTGCACGAGCAGCTTTAGCATTTTCTATGCAAAGATCTGCCCAGTGAGTCTGGGAGATACCGAATTTCAAGGCCGTCCCCTCTAAACCTGGCCCACTGCCCCAGTGGCCGCCTCCCAGGATCCCCCGAGGCCAATTTTCAACAGGCCTCTCTGTAAAGCTGAGCATGACAGAGTCAAGGGGTGCGTTCTCTAGGCAAAGACTGGCTCCAACCAAGATCTCTAGCCAAGTCTGTTGTATCAACAAGCTCCAAACCCCACCAGCTGAGGAAAAAAAGAAAAAAACAACAATAACCCATGCAATCAAAAATGTCATCTTTGGAGAAATTGAAAGAACTGAGCAGGTGTGAACTATTGAGTGGCAGGGAGAGAAATCCATGCTAAGGCTGTAAAGACCTCAGCTGCCATGTTTTTAAACAGCACAGATCAGTGAGGGAGTTTGAGGATCCCCAAAAAGCTGGCTCTTCCCTTCTCCTTGACTGGGCTGCCCATGAAGAGGGAGAGCTAAGCTCTACCAGCCATGGGGGCTCAGCTTTCTTTCTCCATACAGAGCTAAGGCTTTGGGATAAGGGCAGTGGAATACCTATATGTTTGTTGGAACCACTTGGCCCCATAATCCTGGCAGTAATGTGGCATGGACCTTGCCTTCCCTTAGACCCAGAGTAGTCCACCTGGTACATGCTAGAACTTTCCCCCAATTCTAGAGCAGTCCAATTGGTACATGCTAGAACTTCCTGTCAGTCTCAGGGCAGTCCACCTGGTACATGCTAGAACTTTCCCTCATTACCAAAGCAGTACATCTGGTATATGCTGGAACTCAAGACCTGAGGCCACAGCTGACCCTGGAGAGTGACTTGGTATCTGTACAGGAGACCAAAACAGGAAAGACTGGTTGCACCAGAAAGACTGAGAGCCTTGAGAAGGCCTCACCCATCTTCAGCAGGGAGCGGGGAGCAGAGCCAGGAGCAATCTCTTCTTCACATGAAGTTCAGCTAAAGACACACAACCAGGTACCATCCAAACAGAAAATCCTGGATCTGGGTGGTCCTGATGGCCATCTGGCCTCTTGGCTAGTGCCTCCCACAGAAAAGAAACTCCCAGATTGGTTTTGCTGCCCCCTCTCTGCCCCAACACCTACCTTCCCCTGACCCCATTCACAAACTTCCTCTGCTTCACCCCTGCCCTCCCCACACCCCAGCATGAGCCACCTTTGTCCTCCCTGTCCCTTCCTGCAGCCTCAGGAGTCTGGAGCATTTGGGGAGCAAGGGTTGGCAGTGTGGCCTTTCGAGTGGACAGAGGCAGCATTGCATGTTTACATCTGATCCGACATCTGATTGAGTCTTCCCTGATTGTTAGGAGTGTTCCTGACTCAAAATATGTGCAATTCCCGGTGTCAATCAAACTCTTTTAAACAGCAGCTGCCACTGCCGTTGCCGTGCAGCGCACTTTAGAGACTCTTCTATTTAGAAACCATTCCAGCTCCAGCGTACATCATGCCTTCCATGCTAAGAGGCCCAGTGGCTGGTTGAGAAGCTTGCAGTCCTAATCTCTCAGTAATGATGAAGGACGGCAGAGAGGGGTGGGAGAGCGGGGGGAAGGGGGGGGGCGTGCAGCCTCCCTGGAAGGGCCCAGTTAGGGCAAAACAGGGATTTTTGTCCCTCTCCCCCACACTCAGTGGGTGCACACATGTAATTTACTTGCTCAGGCACCCACGGCCTCCTGGAAGCTACCCCCATGGTGCTCAGCACCTGGCCTGGCTCCTCAGCCTGTGGATGACAGATTCGGAGATGGTGACCCAGAGAGGAGAATCAGAAAGGTGGGCTGTGGGGCCCTTACCCACTGCTCTTCCACCTGGGAATGTGAATCCTTCCAGTCACCATCCCCACATGGCTCTATGCACCTGTTCTCTTGCTGCCTGCAAGCAGCGTCTTTCTAACCCTGGCAACTGCTGTAAACAGAACAAGATGACAGTGTTAAGGCCCCTGTTGGCCACTTGAGAATCCCAGGCCTGGCTGTGTCCCATGTTACACAGGCTTGAGCTGGAAGCTCACCTGCAGACCATGTCCCCCGGGGAAATCTGAGACAACTGTGATCTTGCCAAGGCTTGTGGAGAAGCCTGATGTGGGTGTGTGATACACACGTGCCTCTCACTGTCTTTGTGTCCTTCCACACCACTCACACGTGAGCCATGGGGGCTCTGCCCTGCTCTGACACATCCCTCACTCCACTTCCTCCACTGCAGATGCCCTCCCTCACCATCCCCATCTACATTTCCAAGTCCTCGCCTTCTTTCAAAACCAACTTAAATGCTACCTTCTCTGTGAGGAAACCTCGATGGGTTTCCTGTTAATACTTACAGCCCACTCTGTATTGGTTACAAACCCCCAGGTCTTAGTCAAATTATTTGATATTTAACAACAGGTCAGGCACTACACAGACCAACCCCAGTGGAGACCGATGCTGGATGAGACACTAGATCCTTGAGACCCGGACTGGGTTAAAGTTTTGGTTGCTGGATAATGTGAAAAATTAGAATACCCGGGAAGGAACCAGGCTGCCTGAGGCAACAAGCATGGGACACTTGGGGGACAATGGCTCTTTATCAGTTGGTACAGAAGCATTTTAGTATTTTAAGAACGACTTCAGGGGCACCTGGGTGGCTCAGTCTGTTAAGCGGCCGACTTTGGCTCAGGTCATGATCTCGCGGTCCGTGAGTTCGAGCCCTGCGTCGGGCTCTGTGCTGACAGCTCAGAGCCTGGAGCCTGTATCAGATTCTGTGTCTCCCTCTCTCTGACCCTCCCGTTCATGCTCTCTCTCTCCCTGTCTCAAAAATAAATAAAAACCGTTAAAAAAAATTTTTTTTAAAAGAATGACTTCAGCTCTACCAAGGAGTACCTGCTGAATGTCAAGCCCACTCATTTCTGTCCAAACGTCCACACCCAAAAAGTGAAAGAGTTCTCCTCAGAGTTTCAGGGAGTCCTGGACCCAAGTCCTAGACTCTAAACTGGTTAACATATGGAACAATCCCTCCGAAAGGGAAGTACTCTGTGCTGGAGAAGTAGGGGGAGCTGTGGACTGCTCCAGTCTCACAACTGCTCTGCGATTAGGTAAGGCTGATAACAACTATGGTAATGAGCCAAGTATTGGCACACATTCACCAGATGCTGAATCCTGAGAAATGACCAACCCAGGTTGTTCCTTACACACACTCCTCTTGACACACATACAGGTTCTGGCTGCAGATTGTTGCGTGGTGGGGGCAAGGATCCAGAGCCACCGTGGCTTTTGACAATATCTCCATCAGCCTGGACTGCTACCTCACCAGTGAGTTCACCCTGTCCCTTGCACTTGTCCCCGACCCAGACTGCCCCGGGCCTCACTATCCCTCCTTAACCTAAGCCCACCTGCCTCTCCCACCTTCCCCGGGGCATACTCATCTGTCTCTCTTAAACAGAGCCTCACTTAACTCAGCCCATGGGGTCTTCTCTATTCTAGTCAGTGGGGAGGACAAGGTGCCACAGGATACAGCACCCAAATCAAGAAATCTGTTTGAGAGAAACCCAAACAAGGAGCCGAAACCCTGGGAAAATACACCAAGAGAGACCCCCATCTTTGACCCTACAGGTAAGGGTTCAACTTACAAATGTAAGTAAAGGAAATTTTTTGTTGCAAAAGGCAGAAGAGAGATACGTGCGGTGATTATAGTGGGGAGTGGTGTCTAAAGAATAAGATGGTCAACCTTTAAAAGGAACAGAACCTACATCCTGGCTATGGGCTCCAAAAGGATGTTTTTTGGGTCTCTTATCACCTGGCCGAATGAAGCATCTGGAAGTTGTGCAAAGGAGCTACTGGGGAATACCCAGGAACCAAACAGGAGAACCAAGCTGGTATCCTTTCCTCCACTCAGTCCCTTGAAACCTCTCCCCATTTACTGAACAAAGCAAACCCTACATCAGATTTCTTCTCCTCATAAAGAGGGTTGGGCCCAAAGCCGTTATTTGTTGCACAAAGACAGGCTAGCCCACCACGGGTAAAGGCCCAAAACCTTCAGGTTCAACACATTTCCCCAAAGCGTGGCTTCCCCACCCCACCAAAGCTGTTTTATTCAGCATTTTCTGGGCTGCAAGACTTCTCATGAAGACTCTTACTGCTTTGAACCCAGGCCTCTTCAGCCTCTGGCCCTAAACCATGGTGTGACTTCTCAGCTACTCTTTGTACAAGGAGGAAATTTCTTAGAATCAGTCTCTAAACCCGGCATGATGTTCCTTGGCAGTTATTAGACCTATGAGCCTCGCCCCAGAGAAGCTGTGAAGCCCCCGGC